AGAGTTGCACGACGCGAAGCGGAGTGCAACTCTAGCTTTTTTGAGTGCTTAAGCAACCTCCCAAGTGCATCCATAACTCGATGGACGCACGCTACTTATGATCCATTCCTTAAATAAAAACGAGAGGGGAAAATTGTGTTATTTGAACCCTGAGAGACAATCTGGCTAATCTAGCTCAGGGCATTGCTGCCTCCTAACTCCTATAACTCGAACCCTGAGCTGACCAAGTTCAGGGCACGGCAAGCTCCAACATTGAAACCCTGCAACAACCACAGGGCTGATCAAAGTCAGCTCATTTCTAACTCACAGATTGAAATCCTGCAACAACCAGTCTGGGCTGAACAAAGTCAGGGCACGGCGAACTTGCACATTGGAACCTAAAGCAACCTCTGGGATTTTTAACAGATTGAAACTCTGCAACAACCTCTGGGCTGACCCAAGTAAAGGAACGGCTGACTCACAGATTGAGCCCTAAAATAACCTCTGAATTGATCAAGGTTTGGGCAGGCAAACTCACATATTGAACCTCAAACAACCTCTAGGCTAATTTAAGTCAGGGCACATGGTGCTCGATGTATTGCGTAACGATGTCCGTCTCAATGATAACATGACCATGGTAAACGTTTAATAGTGGTTTTTACTGCTTGTCGAATGTCTCGAATGCGCCACAAGTACACCAGAGAATTCATCGCCGAATTAAGTAGGAAGAGAAACTCGGCTGCAGATATAGAGATGAAGATTATGTCATCAGTTGTTGTACTTAGGTATGTGAATGAATAAATGGTTATATATCTGGACACGACAGCAATGATTAGAATACAAACGAAAGGCGCATAAAAAAATATGGTTAACATAAAAACAAAAAGCATGGTCATAATGGATTTTCTGTATTTGGCGACATCAATGTTGGAACTTGGAAGTACACCACCTTCTGCGTTCTGGACACYTGGAGATACTGAGGACAAGGTGATCTTTCGTAAGCTGTAGAAGGCCATCGAATAGRAAATAGTGATGGTTASGACTAAAATGAAARCTRCAGTTCCAGCAAAGAGAAWCAAAGCTGACRAAGTTTCACYATTCCAACTTAGTTTACCAAACACTGTTGCTGAAGCAACACACGCTATGATCCACCATGTCAGTAATACGCGGAGTACACGCTTCTTAGTTACGATACTTTGATATCTGTTCCTTAACTTGACTGCAAGCAGACGATCCAAGCTGACGACTGTCAGAGTAAACAGTGAAACTGAGCCCAATGTGTAAACCACACCTCTGGCGCATTTTAAGACTAGACAAAAATTCTTCAAGGACCAGCTTTTAAGGGCAGCGATATTATAAATGACCATCAATGGTTCTCCTATGGCACCGACCAAGAGATCAGAAAGAGCAAGGTTTCCTATCAGGATGTAGGAAGGTTTGTGAAGGGATGGTGTCTTCCAGATGGAGATCAGGATCAGAAAGTTTAAGACTGTTGTTATCAATGCTGCACCAGAGTACATAGTTGACATTACCAAACGATGAGCTGGGTATAACTGATTTATTTCATTTACGCAACCGACATATTGGCTTTCGTTCATTATGGTTTCTCCTACTTCCGAACCTTCTTCTTTTTGCTGTTTAGTAAATAATCGAACCTTTGCAGCTTTGCAAATAACTGATTTTGATCTAGTATGTTCTTTTGGCAGATTTCGAACGACACGTTCAATGTCTTGCGGGCATCGAACAATTGTTTTCTGTTGAGTCGATAAATTGAACTCTGCGGACGACATCTTTAAGTAATCGGCTTTGAAAATATCCTCAAGAGTTATTTGCAGGATGTTTCTGTGTTCTCAGCGTGAACTAGAAAAGAAAAGAAAAGGCAAATGATTGAACAATCTCGTGATTTCGTGGTGTGTGTCGCTGCTTCCCTTGGAAATTCATTAATCGTTATCATCAGCCAATACTAAAACTTAAATCTACTTGAAAACCCTAATTTTGCACTCATTCATACGGCCTCTCTCTTTGAATAAGAAAAAAAGCATCATTCGCGGCCTACGTAATTGTGAGTGACTGCTGAGCTCTTATTGGATGCTAAAATCCTTTTTAATTTGATTCACAGTACGATATGTCCAACGAAAACACATAAAGTTATAGCAGCGTTTAAGCCCCAATAAAAGTGCCGTTACGCAGGCTACAAGCAACATAGCAGGCGTCTCTCTGTCTTCCCTCATCCCCAGTCCCTCTCTATTCACTCGCCAGTTTGCCCTTCTCCCCCTCTCCAATATGTATTTGCAGATGATTTCTATGCTTTCAGTGTGAAATAAAAAAAGGTAGTGAGGAAATCTTACATATACTCTCATTTCGAGTTCGGCTTTGCTCAGTCTTAGCCTTGATTATGTACAAATGTGTTCTTTTGTTTCGTGCATTAAGGTTCATTGTATAGTAAGGAATATACGAACTACGAATCAATACAAGTTGATTAAAATGCCACGGGTTTTGGTTGAATAGCTGAATGTTATAACGCACAAACGAGACTAAAGCTGAGCAAACAGAACTCGAAACTGGAGTATTTTGTGATGCGCATTTTTGCTTGGGAACTTCCAATCAACAAGTATTTATGCCCTGTGTATAACACGGATACATTTCATACCAAAGCAAATAAACTGTTGGGCAATTTTATATCTTTTTTCTTCTTCAAAGTTTTGGGCACTCTCTTTTGGAGCTCGCCAGTTTTCAGGATAATTTTCATCGCTTGCAGTAGCCTTTTTCGCTTTTATTGAAGTGATAATCTCACCGATCAAGCCTTTACTTTTTACTATCTATTGCTATTAGAGAGTTTTAGATTGACTTTTGTTTCCTCCCCGCAAACGGCAAACGTGGCCACGTTTTCATAGTTTTCCTGTATTTTACTTTACCTTTTACAAACCTTCTCACCAAAATACACTTTTGGTTTTCTACTACTTGGACTTTTTTGCGATTCTTTTTCAGTCATTTAAAAGAATTTTTTACTGGTCAACTGACGTTTCACGTTTGCCGTGAACGTAAATCTAAAACTCTCTATTACATCAGTAAGCGCTTCAAATTGTGGGTTATCATTATTTGTCTACGGTTGCGCTTATTTGTTATTTTGAATTGCCATTCTAATTTATATTTCTGTCGTCAAGATCAATGGACAGAGGGGTTTCAAGATAGCCATGCATGCTGTGAAGCAAGAACAATGTAATTTTTTTTTTTTGTTTTTTTTGTTAAATATTTTCAGCATGAGATTTCACTTTGTAAAGAAAG